TTTTCTCACCATCCCCATAGTGTATGAGACAAATGTATGCATTTCGATTAGGGTCGTATTCTATGGTTACGATTCTACCATATATGTCTTTTTCATTCCGTCGAAAATCGATTTTACGGTATAGACGCTTATGACCTCCCCCTCTATGCCCTGCGGTAATGATTCCTCTGGCATTACRACCTTTACCACAACGATGCTGTCCATAGATCAAATTATTTCGTGGATTGGATTTTACTTGACTGTCTACGGCTCCATTGCGTGTGCTCGGGGTAGAAGTTTTGTATAAATGTATCGACATGCTATTAAGTATTTTGATTTAAGTTCTTTTCTTTCTAAGAGGTGGAATAGAATAACTTGGTTTCAGAAAATGGATTCMTATTCGAAGAGTGCATAACCGTATGGATAAGCTCACACTAACCCGTCAATTTTGGATCCAATTCGGAATTTTCCTTGGGAGGTATCGGGAAGGAATTGAAATGTAATAATATCGATTCATACAGATACAGAAGAAAAGGTTCTCTATTGATTAAAACACTATACCCGCGGGATAGGGATAGAGAAAAAGGAAAAAAACGAAGATTTCACATAGTACTTTTGATCGAAAAATCAATCTGATTTATTTCGTACCTTTTGCTCAATGAAAAAACGGGTCAGATTCTACGGGATCAAACCTATAAGACTTAAGGAATAATGGAAGGGAATAAAAAAAGAAAAAAAAAGAGAGGGAAAAATAAGTAAATAAAAATGACGTAGAAGAGTCCAGATTCCAAATGAATGAAAACGTGATTGAATTGGTCCCGGTCACTCTTCGGGACGGAATGGAAGAAGGGAGGAGATTCTCGAACGAGGAAAAGGATCTAATGACTTCGAAAGAATTGAACGAGGAGCCGTATGAAGTGAAAATCTCATGTACGGTTCTGTCGAGTGGCCTTACGTAAAGTTGTCAGAGTACGCTTAACCTAGGGATTTGAAATCACTGCTTATATACGTGGTATTGACCATAATTTACAAGAACATTATGTAGTTTTAGTAAGAGGGGGAAGGGTTAAGGATTTACCCGTTGTGAGATATCACATTGTTCGAGGAACCCTAGATGTTGTCGGAGTAGCTATTTTTATGATATTTGATTATTTTGGCCATTTTTCAAATGAAACTATTTAATTTAGCTATTCCTCTGATTGCGGGAAAAAAAAAATTCGTGAAAACATTTTCTGTTGAATAATATATTGGGCCGAAGCCCAACCATGAGGAATTCATATTTTTCTACGTTCTCTTATCTGTAAGTTGCGAAACAACCGCCCCCTCGTTGAAGAATCCATAATCGGAGCCAGAAAAGGTGGCGAAACTCTCCAGTTGGCGGCTCTTCGTCGGAAACTTTAGGTTCGTTTCCTCATCATTAATCAATTCAATAAATTGTTTTACTTTTTACCTCACCACTGTAGATATGAATTGTGTGTCTGTTTGTTTTTAGAAGCTCTGGAAATGTATCTGTATCATTACCTTTGCGTTCCGCTTAATCATGGAGTTCGAGTTCTCACCGTTTCTTCTTGAGTTTTATGTAATCTTTTTGTCGACAACTGAATGATCTTTCTTCTTAATTCCCTGGATATTAGGCCTAAAGAATAGGGTTAAAACGTAGTGACAACTGTGGAATTTAAAATGCTTACAACTTTTTCTGGGTAGTGAGACTGTGCTAGGTGTTTATTCTTGCATCTTCACTGTAGAACAATTTCCTCCTGTATTTGTATTTTTTAAGTCGTTGTTTAAGTGCTGCTCCCAAAAATGTTAAATAGACTGAAGCAGGCACTAAATTCTGTATGTCTGTGTGTGTATATTTCATTGGACCGATCTAAAAGCTGGTACCTGAAAAGTTTAAGAATTACCATTTCTGGGTTGAGTTTGCCTTTGCCTAACTGTGCTTTCACAGATGAATGGGGATTTTGACTTCGAGGAGTGAGTTGCAATGGAAGTATAATTAACAAAAGAATAGTTTGCAGCAGCATTGTGATTCTCTTTAAGCCTGAGGCTATATTTCTTCCATGAATTCTCTTTCCTTGCATTCTTCTCTTGGCCCCTCACTTACTTCAAAGCCTCTGCCATGCTCTCTTAAGAGGCCTCTACCTATTTGTACATTATGTGGCTCTCATCGCAGTGCTCGGATATTTTCCCGTTCGGTTTCATTGTATCCTTCATTACATGTCAGCAAACCGGTCACCTGTGCTTCAACTCCTTCAAATGAGGGAGTAGTATCTGTGATCAATTTTGAAGACTTAGTTGAGAAGGATTTTTCGTTTCTCGATTCAGACGATTTTAGTTCCAGTGAAGAGTATGATCAAAAGATTAGGCGCATTATTTCTGCTGGGGAGGTTGCAGAAAGTTCTCAGGTTATGGTTTCCATTCCTTCAGAAGGATTTGTTGATCAGTTGTTTGACTCAGCTCCTTGCCGAAGTTTACTTGTCCTCCATGATTCTATTCTAACGTTAGCTTGTATCAAAGAAAAATATGACAAAGTTAAGTGCTGGCAAGGAGAAGTTATATATGTACCAGAAAAGTGGGGGCCTTTCGATGTTGTGTTTCTCTATTATCTGCCTGCAATGCCTTTCGAACTCGACGCGATTTTTGGAGAACTCTCAAAACGTTGTGTACCAGGTGAATTATCTGCTTTGTTATGTAAATTTCAAGTCTTTTGATCGGTTGCATTGGCTACCTTGCAAGTTCCCAATGATCTGTTTGTCTTTTTAGTTTGCATTTTTACGGAGAATGAGTAACCTTGCAAGTTTGAATCACCTTTTACTTCAATTTACATCGTGTATAGAACTGTATTAGACTACTTTCTGGCAAATAACTACACTTACCATTTTTTTGCAATCTCGACATCATAAGTTGTGGATTTGAGCAATGGGTTTTTACCATGCCCTCCAACATATATTATTAGTCCTTGGCATGTGAAGCCAATAGTCATACTGTGGCATAATCTGTGCAGTTCCTTAAAAAATAAAATCACATAGAAGTGAAATTCTTGCTTGTTTTGTAGACTCATCATATCACACAGCTCTAAGATTATCTATTCCCTATGTTGCTTAATAGGTGCAAGACTAGTTATTAGCCATCCCAATGGAAAGACAGCATTAGAGGAAGAACAGCAACAGTTCCCAGATGTCGTAGTTTCGGGTTTACCTGATAAGATGACTTTGCAGAAAGTTGCTGCAGATCACTCTCTTGACCTGACTGAATTTGTAGATGATAATGGCTTTTATCTTGCAGTTTTGAAGTTCCACAAGGATAGAAGCTAAGCCTGAATATTTCATCAGAGGCTAGTGGTTCCATGTCTATTTCCTGCTGTAAAATCTCCGTGGTTTGGATAAACAAAATTTAGTTGTTTTATTGTGTTTTTTCCCTTTTTATTTCTCATTGATCACSAAGAGTACCATGGCAAGGTAGTTTCAAATGATCAAGTTTGACATTCTCCGATCCTTGTTGGTTGCTTACATTTCCATCCAACAAGATTGATACAGTACATACTAATTCATGAAATCCTGAATCAGATCAAGTTCCTAAGTTGAATGTGGGTGAAAAATGATGGTGATGACTAGATGAGCAAGATTTGTGCATCTTTATAATTTCCTTTTGTTGATGCATTTAACTGTAGAATAATGGAATAAGATTACAAATTACAGGAGAGATTGCTGTGCTCGAGCGTGTGCCTACTCATGCTCGGTTGTATGTTAACCAAAATGTGTATAATCTCATGGACGAGGTGGAGGTTGAGATTCAGCTCCTGGTGGTTTAGAAGAATTGAGAAGTGGCTGGAGAGCCTTAACAACAATTGTCATGTTTGGCCTAAAGTCAGCCTCGTACTGAACACACAGCGCTGCAACTGCTGCCAACTGAGAGAGATTCACATGAAAATTAGTGGAATAAGAATCCCCATCCGAAACATTTACTACAGTAATGAAAGCTAATGTCCATTTAAACTTTGTCTGAGTTTGTTGTTGAACATGATAAAATTGCACAACAAGATTTTAGTTCAGTTTGTGAATAGAGCACAACTAGATTAATTCCATTCCCTGTTTGAGAGTGCTTTTAGCTTTCCACTCAAATAAATTCTTATGTTCAACTGTAATGTAAAAAGTTGTTTTTAAGAAAATAAAATAAAAGCAAAATTACTTGATCAGAATGCACTTGTAGAATGCAGCCTAGAATTATGATCTTTTATTCTAGTGCTTATAATGTCAATCTAAACATAACTTAGTAAATCAGGCATCAATTATTTTTAAAGTTCAAATTCTCTACCTCACATTTGTTATACTTAAAAAAAAGGTGCCTAAAACGACGGTCTTGCTTGATAGGTCTAAATAGGGGACAGGCTCTCACATATAGCATAGATGAGGTTTTATATTATTACTTACTACTTAGGACAAAGGATTGCGTGTATGAAGTTCAAATGGAATTGCAAATTCACCCCTATAGTAGAAAAATATTTACTTTTACCCATCTAGTTTGTTTTTTTTTTAGTAAAGAACAACAATTACTATAGAAAATAAACTACTCTTGAAAGTCTTATCCATCTAGTTTGTTAGATGGAAAAAAAGTGTCCTACCGTTCCTTTTTGCAAAACACGCCCTTCCAATTTGAATTAATTGTGAACACATTCCCAATGATATGAATATGAATGTGATTATATAGAAGAAGAGAAGGTACCTTTGCTATAGCCTTTGGTGGGTAATCGTTGTTTAGCTTAGGATCTACACACTGTTTCACCTTGTCCTCACTTAATCTTGGTGTTGCCTGCAGAATAATATGAATGGATAATTAAGTCCGAGGAGTATACTGCAGGCACTAAGAAGATTGTAGTAAGGGAAAACTTACCCAAGTAACAAGACTCTGTTGTCCCTTAGGCATTGTGTGATCTACCGGCTTTCGCCCCGTCAAAAGTTCAAGAAGAACTACGCCAAAACTATAAACATCACTCTTCTGAGTAATTTGTCCTGTCATAGCATACCTAAAGAGAAACCAATGAATCACATTAACATGGAAAAGAATAAATGAAAAACTAGAAAGGAAGTAGAAAGAGTTTAGTCCCACTTTCAAATTTCAATTCAATCTGGTGTAAGGCAACAATGTTTCAAATATGTGTAAGACAACACAATAAGACATTAATGTGGGTATGTATGGAGCCGTTAGGTTGGTTGATGAATGTATCAGGTGGGCAGATTTTAAGTCTAACAAAGACCAAAATGTTTATTTTTTTAAAATTCATAGATAAACTTAAAAATTCAGAGACCAAAAAAGAAAAATAAAATAAACCTAAGATTTGTAGTTGATTGTGGCCCAAAATTCGGTAAAAAAACAGAGAGCTTACTCTGGAGCATGGTATCCAAACGTTCCTAAGACTCTAGTTGAATGAAGTCGTGCTGCTGTGTCGGACGATTGATTCGTCAAGTTGAAATCAGCAATCTTTGCAAGGAAGTCGTCAAAGAGAAGAACATTGCTCGACCGGATATCACGATGAACTATGGAAGGCTGAACCTTCTCATGTAGATATTCAAGACCTTTTGCTGCACCAAATGCAATTTTGACTCTCTGATTCCAAGTAAGAACTGGACCAGGCTCAGCCCCTTGTACTCCTTTTCGTCCTGCAATAGAAAATTATCAGAAACAAAACAAAACTTACCAACAAAACAGGAAACTCTGCAATTTAGCTTGACATACCGTGTAATATATCGTGCAAAGAACCCATTTGTGCAAACTGATATACCAAGATTCGATTATTCGCCTCTAAACAATACCCAATTAACTCCAAAAAGTTCTCCTGCTTAAGTCTAGAAACAGTAGATAGCTGCAAAACCATCACAACATATGAATATAATTGCATTAGAATGGAGTGACTAACATATGACCTTCAACATTCATACTTCTTCAAATATCAAACCTGAGCTGCAAAATCAGTGTCAGGCTCTGGTGAGGAACTAGTATCCAATTTCTTGATTGCTGCAGCCTGACCACATTTTAACGTGGCATAATACACCCGGCCATAAGAACCTTCACCGATAAAAGATTTCGTACCGAAGTTACCCGTCAACCTATTCAACTCATCCAGTGGTATGACTGGTGTTTCAATAGGCAATACTTGCTGGGGAGCTCCACTTCTGACAACACTGGCACTCCTGTGCTCTCCTCTCTCGCTGCCTACGATGCACAAATCATAGACTCTCATAATCCCCATCTCGACAAATCATATCATTATCATATCATATCACATCACCATCCACAGCCAAAACAGAGCAAATCTCACATTTGAATTGTAAAAACAACCAACATGTCTAAGAACAACCAAAATGCAAAACAATTACGCCCTCCCAACAAAAGAAAAAAAAAAAACCATTTACACAAACAGATTGCGTGCAACAACAGCACAAGGCAAGACGCGAGGAATTTACAAGAAAGTTGAGAAGAGAATGAGCATTTACCACCATATGTATTCCCCCTCGGCGGGGCGGTATATTGACTGGAAGGCGCGCCAAAGTTTTCCTCCTCCACACCTCCGCAGCAGAACATCGCTTCTCGTCTCGTCAACTCGCCGTAGCCTCAGAAACCTACGGACAGGAAAATTCATCAAATGGGGAAATGGGGTAATCGAAAACACAAATGGGTGTCTCTACGATGGAACATATGAGCAAAGATTCGATGGGAATGCAGAATTCTGAGCAGACAATCGAGACCCATTTGGGAATCGAGAAGATTGCGATGTTAGAATGAAAAAAAAAAGGGAAAAGAAGGGGGGAAATTGACCTGGGATGTGAATAAAAGTGGAAGGCGAGAGAGAGGAGAAAGAGATCGAAAGCAAAGGGAGGAGGAGGAGGAGGAGGAGGGGATGGGAGAATCCCGGCTATGGGTTCCTGAAATGGCGATTCGGGGAAGGCAGAAGTTGTTCTATTTAGCGGGAAACTCGGTTGCGATTTGTGAAACCGCTAAACAAAAACAAAACCCACATAGACAGAGACGTGCCTCCCACCCACGTCGCACGTTCTTCTCCTTTCTTTTCTTTTCTACTCACTTTATTCGTTTCCTTTGACACCAAAAATGTTCTAAACTTTTTTCCAACATTTAAATCTCATTTCCTACTTTGTTACGCTATTAAAAATGAAAAGAAAAAGTTAAAATACTATTTTCGTCTCCTACTATTCGTTCATTTTACTATTTGTATGCTCGTTTTAGTGATGTGATTTAAAAAAGTGACTATTTTGATTCATGTTTGTAAAATTTTAACATAAATTCTATACATAACGAAAACCTTTTAATGGAAAGTTGTGGCTGCATTTCAATAAATATATTGAGTGTAGTGTCGTGTCGAAATTGTGGTGGAAAACTTGAGATTGAAAGTAAAATTAAGTAAAATTAATGGACAAAATTGAACCTTTTAAAAATATATGAACCAAGCTGAATCAACGAGGGAAGTATAATTATCAAAATAGTATTTTAATAAAAAAATAATTAATTAAAGGACACTTTTGGTCCCTATATTTTAATGAAATTACGATTTAGTTCTTGAATTTTAGTTTGTAATGATTTAGTTATTGTAATTTCAAATTTGTGATAATTCATATATGAGACTAAACTATTATAATTTACAACTATATGGACTAAATCGTTGTTATAAATTAAATTTTTTGGACTAAATCATTATTTCAATAAGAGTGTATTGACCAAAAATATTTCTTAACAAAAAAAAAATCTAATTTTAAAACCTCATTTTAGTCGGTTCAATAGTCTATTTCCTCGTGTGAGTACAATAAATATAAGGATGAAAATTTGAACTTTCCACCAGAGAAGGCATAAGTAACTTATTACAAGGTTTATTTTATTGTGGTCTCTTAAAATTTCAAAATGTTTATTTTAATTTCTTTTCTAGTCTTTAATATTTTCTGGCTCAATAATCAGCTCAACCAACCTAGCACAAATGCATGTCAATGTCAACATGTCAGTAGATATAATCTAAGCTACCTTATTCATTTGTTAAAAACAAATTATAAATTAAAATATATATTTTGACAATTTAAAAACTGAAATATAAATAAATTTAGAGTTTAGGAGACTAAAATACCTACTTAGACAGTTTAGACATCAAAATGGAATCATTTTAAAAGTTGATCAACTAAAATAAGAGTTAAATATTTTTAAAATTGGAACACGTTTTAATAGAATTTCACCAGTTGTATAAGTATTTTAAATTTTGGACTTTTTGTGTATATATATTATCTAAAACTAATATTAAAAATATAAAACTAGGTTAGATAATTTTGAAATTCATCAGGTTTTTATACGTTAAATGTTAGAAAATCCATTAAGTATACCATGGTCATTGATGTTTTATCGAGCCCAAATTAAACTTTAATCAATTCTACTGTAATTCTAAAAATAATTTTGGATATATAGTTGCAATAAAACTATAAACTGTCATGTTTAAGAAAAAAACAAATAACAACTATTTTTCTTGATAAAAACAAATAACAAAACATTATAAAAAATAGTTGGCAAACAAATACCATAGACTTTAGTCACAATTTCATCCGTTTGTTTCCTATTTTTAAAAAGTGTTACTGAAATCTTGTTAAAGTTTAAAAACAAAAACATGTTTTTCAGAGTTACATTTTTTATTTTTTTGTTTAAAATATTATTTTAGTCCACGTATTTCTTGCTTGTGTTCATTTTGGTTATTGTACGTTTTCAAAGTTTCTTTATTTCTTCCAACTACACTCAATATTCTTTTGAGATGTAACAATAATTCTATATTGAAGAATTTAAGATGCATAGAATCTGTGTTAAGATTTTTTTAAAAATTGATCAAAATTTTCACTTTTTAAAAGTACATGAATCCAAATAAATGATGTTGAATAAAATGAACCAAAATTGAAAAGTAAATGAATCCAAATAAATGATGTTGAATAAAATGAACCAAAATTGAAAGTACGAAAAAAAAAACAGAATATCGAAGCCCAAAATGAACCAAAGTTGAAATCCAAATATCAAAATAGGACATGAGTTGTTTTACTTTAAGAAATCAACTTTAATAAATCCCTCTTCTTTTTTTTTTTCTATTTCCCGAAATCTATGTTATGTGACTTACGCAGTGGATTCCTACCACTGAAGCTCAACACAAGATCACTATTACAAAAAAACACTTCTTTTTTTTTCTTGACTTCAACAGCTGAGTCAAAGAGATTCAAACTCGAGATGAATGCTTTTTGAAGATGATGTTGTTCTCTTTAAAATCCCATCCAACTGATATAGAAGATTTACAACCTCCCCAAATCCAGTTTCACTAATACAAAATAATTCAAATCAAATCGCAACAGACTGCTCCATCTCCTCCCATCCGGGTGGCCTAAGAGTGTTCTTTGGGGCGCTTATCCATGGAGTTCCTGCAATGGCAAATCTCCACAGGGCATTAACATGCTCTGGTAAGGCATACTCGATTCCAACACGAGGACCTACTAGGATGTTCTCAGGCTCCGGAGCATCGAGGAGTTCTAAACCACCTGGAACACATTCATGCATATATCATACCAACTGTGAATTTTCTGCTAGGCTTTACAGGTAGAACTAGAAGCACGGTAATGACGGTTACCAGGAATGTAAAGCCGGTGGTTAGACCATTCTGTTGATAATCCAAGTGCTTGGCCAACCTTCGAAAAAATTGAGAACATGAATTTGGTAAGTAGTGAAGAGAAACATAAAAAGAAGAGTTACATACAAATACTCTATGCATCCTATAATGATGTTCAACCCTTAAAAATTTCACAGATTAACCACAGAGTCTTCCTCCTGGAAGTTATGTTTATAATATAGATCACAATGCACATATGCATTGTTACAAGCTAAATGCCACAAATTCAACTTGTTCACTGCATTTTTCTTTCCCGGAAATATGAGATTTTTTTTTTTTAGTACAACAAATGTGGAGATGAGGGATCGAACTCCCGACTTCAAAGGAAGGAGTAAGGTGCCTGAACCGCTGAACTATGCTCATGTTGGCGGTAATACAAAAAGTTTCCGAGTTTGTCTTTAAGAAGCCATCTTTTGGTTATTGGGTATGGATAAAAGAGACGGTGGAGGGATTAGGGAGGGGGTGGTGAAGATATTTCCTTACCTTCCCGGGCCCAGTAAGAAGAACAGGCTTGTCCGTGATCTGACTTCTTCGTTTCTGAATTGTCTCCAATCCTGTATTGTTATTTACATTAATCTAACAGTGCAGAGTAGTGAAAGTTGCAATAAATATGACATTCCAGTTGATTTGCAATCAATATCAATGCATTCACAAACAGAAAGAAATGGCCAAGTCGTATAAACGAGTCTGCGAGATTTGAATATGGTATAGAAGCATAAGAAATTTATGTGCTTCTATTCTAGGACATCTTCCCAATACTACACATTAACTGAGGACCACAAGGGAAAAATTTAGTGGTTGTTGGCTCACAGGTGAGGCTTGTGTAACTTAAGAGTTAAGAAGTTGAACCAATGTTTACTATGTAGGTTTGTTTATTACAGGCTATGGGATTCTCAATCTCACCGGTTCACGAACCCATGTTATAAAAACTCAAACTTATTAAACTTACTCTTATATAATTACCAACTTATGGAAATCATAAACCTACAGACCAGAGAATAGGTTACACAAACTCAGGTTCGTAAATCTTTAATACAACCCAAACACACATTATACATATCCAGGCTACCTAAAACCATGAGACAAACAATCCTTAAAACGAAAGAATTAAGGTACAAGCAAGGTGTGAAGTTACCACTGACAGGGGCACAAGATCTGATTAACACAGCAGCACCAACTCCAACCTCATCAGCCACAACATTCAACATCATATGGAGACCATAGCAAAGATAAACGTATGCATGCCCACCAGGTCCAAACTACGTTTGAACACGCAAATCCGTGCAAAATAATTAATAAACATCTACAAGAATCAAATATCTCATTCTTCATTCTTCCATCATCAATCACTTGAGAAGTACTTACCACTGGGGCTGTTCTTGCTGTGACACCAAACCGACCATGACAAGCTGAATCATTTGGTCTATAAGCTTCTACCTGTCCAGTGTCAGAAATACTTTTATGGTTAAACTATAGTTTAGTCTCCGAATTTTTAAGGTTGTGACGAATAGGTTTTGAACTTGAAAACGTCAAAAAAAGTCTCGTCAACAACCTATTAGAAACTTTTTAGAATTCAAGAAGCCACTTTTTAGAGTTCAAGAAGCCACGTATAGTTTAGCATACTTTTGTTCAGTTGTCGAGTCTTAAGAAGTCGCTAGCCACTTTTGTTCACAAATCCAAGATATTATCACAATATTACCATAAAAAAATCCAATTCCCATTCGTAGAGAACAGATTTTGGTAACATGGTATTCAAACAGACATACAAACAAACACATTGTGGGCATGCCTCTCAGTCGCGTGGTATACAATCAAACAATCAAACAGATTCCCTTTTCCTGTAGAGAGGCAATCCAATCTCGCAGTACTGTTAAGACCAGAAGTTCTCATCGCCATTAACAATAAGCTAATTAGAACCCAAACCATATCGCAAACAGAAAAAGCAAACAACATATACGAGAAAGAATGAGCAATGAGTACCTCAGTAATCCGAAGAACGACGTCGTCTCTCCTGAGAAGCTTTCCGAGCAAGCGTGGGGCGAGGTCCAAAGCGTCGACGAGGAAGAAATCCTTGGAGAGAATCGTGAATCTCTCGGCAGAGGAAGAGTCGGAGACCAAAGCGGTGTGAGGCGAGGGCAGGGATTGGGATTGTGGGTCGGCCTCGGGGTTCGATTTGGGCCTAATGAGGACCGATTTGGCGCGATGCCCTGTTTTCTTCTTCCTCCTCCTCGTCCGAGGTTCATCGATTTGAGAAATGGGGTTTTGGGGGTCGGCGATTTTCTTGAATCGCCGAGTTCTGATCATTTCGTAGCAGAGGAAGAAAGCGAGAATCTGAAATGGGGATTGAGGATTGGGGATTGAGGAGAGGGCATGGCCGCATGGGGGCCTGGTCAGAAGAACTGAAGCATTTGGCTTAAGTTTGACCTTCCGCGGGTTTTCTAACTGTCAACGGCTTCTTCTGTGTTCTTTGAAAATGGGAAAATTCTACGAGAAAATTTGTGGTATTATCGCAATACTCTTTTCAATTTAATTTTACTACACTATTTATTTATCTATTTATTATGTTTTAAGTATAACGAACGATGAAGAATTTGAATCCATGATCTCATGGTTAGAGATATGTGTCAATTAACAAATTAAGTTCATATTGACTACTTCTATAAATACTCCTTTTATTTATAATATCAACATAAAATTATAGAGTAAACATTGGATATTATTATTTTTTTGAAATACTACTTCTTCCTCAATCATTTAGTATTATTTAAAAAATACCATAAAAGATAAAGAATCATATTAACATTAATCACAACGAGGTAAGATTGATCTAACACTAAATAATTATTGAAGAAAAAAAGTCCATAGTAAGAGTGAAATGAGGTACTACTATAAATTTTTTTGGGATCTTGGAATGAATCGGAATAAGGAACCTTAGAATGAACCCTACCTGTCAATCAAAAAATAGGATTGGAGAGGACCACCTGCGAAAGATCAAAAATATTTTTATGGAATGTCCTACTCCTGCTCGAGCTTTTCAATCCACCAATCCCATAATTTTAGGGGTATCTCTTTCTTAAGTAGGACTGGAAATCCTTAATGAGTGGAATGAGCCTATCCCTCTGACCTATCATTGTTGGGTCGATCCAGCTGGCAGCTCCTGCATCTCTTGCATCTCTATGGGGCTTTTCATATAAGTTTGTTGTTAGGAGTCCCTCTAGTCGAATCTCTCGTCAATAGAAGTTTATTGACTGACCTAGTTCTTCAATCTACCGTTGCTTCTTAGTTACAGATGTCCATGCTTTGATTAAAAACCCTAACTTGAATCTTCAGTAAAATCGGAGTATGGTATTCCTCTTCCATTCAATATATGCTACTTTCGTTATTCATTGGTTATATTAGTGTTATTTAAAAAATAAGATGACATGTCAACATTAATAAGAATGAGGTGACGGTCGGAAAAAAAAACCTTTCCTAATGTTATACAGAGGAGTACTATCACATGATCTAAATGGAGGAACTACCTTCAAAAGGCTAATTGTGTTATGTTGGATTGGTTATGAGATTATTTAGTGTTGTATTTATGAAATTTAACAATTTTCATGTGCTATGTTTAAACTAGTATATATATATAGCACTTATTAGTGTTACTAGTAACTTAACACGTGCGTGGTACGTTGTAACTTAATTTAAATCTAAGTTAATATTTTTGCATTTCAGACTATTTTCTTGAAGCATATCTTTGTCTCTTATTATTGTTTAAGATCTAATGGTTAGATAACACTACTTTGCCATTCAAATTAAAAAAAAAACTTAGTCAATTATTCTCTTCAAGGGAAATAGAAGGAAGAAATAAAAACAAACTGAGAGGTTATGTAAAAATTTAATTGTGTGTATAAAAATGAGAAATTTTGATATAGTTGTAGAAAATGAGAGGGAGATCGCAGATCTATTTAGAATTCTAAAATTTTTAAATTTTTCTCGTCAATAATTATAATTAAAAATAACTGTCATAGATTTTAAAATTAATTTTTTGCAAAGGATTTTGAAAATAAATTTCCTATATTCAAACTTCTCACATTTTTGCATTTCAATTTTATGAAATAATTAGTTTTAATATATTTTTATACTTTTATTATTTTACCATTAAAATGCTATAATTTTTTAAATTTAATTAGTAATTATAATTAAAAATAAAATCATAAATTTTAGAATTATTTTTAATAATAAAATGACAACAATTTTATATTCACATTCCTCACTTTTTGTCATTTAAATTTTGTGAAATAATTAGTTTTAATATATTTTTTAAAAGTTACAGTACTTTTAAATAGTTCGATGATATTATAACCTATAATTAAAGATAAAATCATAAATTTTATAATTAAGTTTAGGAATAAATGGAAAAAATGTATACTAAGCCTTTTCACATTATTTTCATTATTAATTTTAAATTATTATTTTGTGTATTTTAACTTTTATTTTAAATTTTGTTTAATTACTAAAAGTGAAAAAAAAATTGTCTAAAAGAAGTGAAAAGAAAAATTAAAAATCATAAATTTCACAAGTCAATATTTTGAATAATCAACCTAGCGTAATTTATGAATATTTTCAAATTCTATTTTTAATTATAATTAGAGATAAAGTCATAAAATTTAAAAAATAATAACTTTATTAAAAAGTGAAAAATCACAAATCACAAATTTTAAAATTCAATGTTTTAAATAAAGAATATAGAGAGGTTTATTTGGTAATGACAAATTTATGAATGTATCTCATTATTAGTTTTAATATATTTTTATATTTTTATTTTTTTAACATTGTTTAACTATTAAAACACTATGACTTTTAAAATTTAAGTATTAATTATAATTATAGATAAAATTATAGATTTTTAAATTAATCTTTGGGAATAAATTGATAAAATGTATATTCAAAATTTTCACTGTTATTACTTAAATTATTAGTTTCAATGTGTATTTGTACTTTATTTAAAAATTTATTTAATTGTTACAATTGAAAAAATCATAAATCATAAATTGTAGAAGTGAGTATTTTGAAGGAAGAATAGAGAGGGTGTATTTGGTTAACAAAACTAACGTCTTTCTTATTAAAAAAAAACATATTATTAATATTCTCTATAAAAAAATCTTTAATAAACAAAATTTTAAATATATAAATATGATAAATGATATTAGAATAATGAATTATATATATACACCTTTCACCAAGGTTCATGACTATTAAGCAATACTAAGAATGTGATCAACACCACTAATTAAGAAAACTTWAAAAATAATAAATCGTGATAGAGAAACGTAAAAATAATAACAAACAAAAAAAATGTAGAAGAAGAAGGAAAACACTAACCTCAAATTGTTGTTGAAAATGGAAAATAAAGGGATGGGTTGAAAATGGAAGGGAGAGAGTCCTTTTATAGTKGTAAAAAAAGATGGGTTGCAAAACTTATGAGATTGCACAACTTTTAGTATTCAATAATTAAACACTATTAAATAATTATGATAAAAGTTCTCGTATTCTAACATTTTAAATGCAAAATCGATGAAGGAGAAATAGAATTCTAAAAGACAAACAAATTAAATATATTTAATTTTTTTTTCYTATATTTACATATTGATAAAATTTAGATGTTTACTTGTAAGTATTTTTTATTTTTTATAGGAATGGTAAGTAGTTACCTTCATACTTACCGCAATTAAAAATTTAATAGCTGTTTATTCTAATTTTTCTATTTTTCTTTATGCATTTATCTCTTATAATTGTTATTTTTTAATAAACACATAAATCTTTTATAAATTTAAAATGTTGTTATTATATTTGCAATTAGTTGAATCTAGCAGTTAAAAAAAAAAAAAACTATCAACTAAAATATTATATATCTAAGAGTTAGAATCTCTTAATCCTTCAACCTAAAAAATGGGTATATTTTAAAATTAACTTTAACTAAAAATATATCAAAATAAGCTCATTAGAAATTTAGAACGAATCAAAGGTAAAAATGTCGGTTGGATTTGATTAAAAATAAGAGTAATACTCTAACATAAAAATTGTACGGGTTGGTTGGTTGTTTGGATTCTGTTAATTATTTTTAAATTCATTAATTAAATAGATTTAGTAATTATCAAGTTTGTTTTTAAAACTATTTTTGAGTTCTTTGATCCAAAATAATAAAAATTTGAGAAACAAACACTGTTTATGTTTTTTTTCCTTTTAAATTTTGAACTTTAAACTTAAAAATGTAGAATTACAAGACAATTTTTTTTTTTATAAACAGATTATAAACTCTATCAAATTTATAATATATACGTTAATAAAAAAATAAATATTATTTTAGATTCAACCTTTGAAGTTGAAAATTACAAATATATTATCATCAAATAAAAAAAAAACAATTACAAAAATTTTTAAAATAAAATTCTAAGTTCTAAATCTGTTAACAAACTTATGTACGAAAATATTAAAATAATATATATATAAAAAAGGAAAAAATAGTTTGTTTTTATATATTTCTATTTTAAATCACAACCTTGATTTCTTAATTTCTTAATCTCTTTATCGGAACCCTATTTTTTGGTTGGGTCCGAGAGGCGAAGTGCCGCCATAGTTCTAGAGACTTCTACGCCGAGAAACTTCTGGACTTCCGGTCGATTCCATAGCCTATTTCCTCTTTCCCCAACTTCTCGATCTCCATCACCAACCAATAATTCTCTCTCTACCAACTCTCCGGCCAAGTTTTCCCTCTCTTCAGCTCCGGCAATGGCCAAAATCGGCGAGGGCGACAAGCGGTGGATCGTTGAAGAACGCCCCGACGGCACCAATGTCCACAACTGGCACTGGGCCGAGACCGATTGTCTCGAATGGTCCCGCAATCTCCTCGGTAAGCTCCTCTCGGACCTTCCTCTTCTCGACGGCGAGGGCGGCCTGTTCATCAAGACTAAGAAGGTCGACAAGGTCGACGGAGAGGCCTATGTCAACATCCGCAAGGGCAAGATCATTCCCGGTTATGAGCTTAATGTCACTGTTTCGTGGGAGGGCGAGGCCAAGGATTCCGCCGGGAAATCTCTGCAGAAGGTCGATGGTCTTGTGGAGATGCCGTATATTTCCGACGAGAACGCCGATGAGGATCCGGAGGTTAAGATTTCTGTGAAGGACGAAGGCCCGATTGGGAAGAGGATGAAGGAAGCGATGCTGGCTAAGGGGAAGCCAATTGTGTTGGAGAAGGTGAGGTTGTACGTGCAAAGCATGGCCAAGGGTGGGCCTGCGAAGGACGATTTGGAGGCSAAGAAGGTGGAGCCGAAGAGTAATCAATCGGCTCCGGCAGCCGCCGCCGCGGCTGCCCCTGCAGCGTCGGTGAAGCCGGCAGTGGTGGCGGAGAAGAAGAAAGCTAACAAGAAAGGGTTCAAGACAATAACTCTGACCGAGAAGTTTAATTGCAGGGCTAACCATCTTTTTGAAATACTCATGGACGATAATAGATGGAAAGGTTTCACACAGAGCAATGCCAAAATAAGCAAGGAAGTCGGTGGAGAGATCAGTATATTTGATGGGTCCGTGACTGGGAAGAATTTGGAGTTGGAAGAGGGGAAGTTGATTGTGCAGCAATGGAGATTCGGAAGCTGGCCCGACGGCATTCATTCAACGGTGAGCTTTTAATTCTACTCCATTCTTCCCTACTTATCTCATTTTCAATGATTTGTTCTTTGGCATATCATWAGGAATAGTTACTGGCAAATCTTGATGATCCTCGTTTGAAAGRGCTGTTATTTTTTAGTGTAAAAAAATGCAAAGACCACCCTGAACACATTTTGAGCAATTACTCCAAACTTATGAAATTCATTCTCTTAAACACTGTAGTTAGRACTTCATTTAATGGAAAACTGTGAAGTTGGTATAATTATACTATCAAGCCTTTGGAGTTAAACCCAACCACTAAAAAAATTATAACGGTAGGATTTAATTGCAATGATTTTATAACTTTATGGACAAAAAGGTCTGAGGGTGCAACTGTAAGTGTAACAATGCCTGTAATTCAGGGTAGTTTTTGCCTTTATTGAGCCATTTAGTGAGKTCTGGTTGTTAATCGAACATATCATCAATAACCCATGTGAGAGATCATGCTAAATTGGCTCTGAAAATGGTGGCACAGGTGAAATTGACATTTGATGAGCCCGAGCCTGGGGTTACCGTTGTGAAGTTGATACATTCTGACGTTCCGGAGGAGGACAGGTTGGTATTTCTGATAGTTATGCTGATGATTGACATCTTCATACCGGTACAAATTTCAATTTCAATTTCAGATTCTGTTGTTCTGTTGTTAATTTGTTCATCTTTTTGTTTGAATCAGATATGGAAACGCAACTGTAGTGGAGAACACAGAGAGGGGCTGGCGGGATCTTATCTTCCACAAGATCAGAGCAGTGTTTGGGTTTGGAATATGATAGGGTACTACCTTACTTATAATAGAGTCCAGTCCTTTGGCTTCTTAAAGCTTATCATTTGCAAATCTTCATGAATGAAAATGATTTGAAATGCTTCATTTTTCAATTTTCAGATGGTGTTGTTTCTCATAGTCTCTGTTGTCTTTCATATCCATATTGAGAATCAAAATTCATTGTTGGATTCTGAGCTTTGACATATAATGAGATACAATTGTCATCTCTTTTATCACATTCTGTTTTGTTCTCTATATGAAGATAGTCTGTTGTCTTATATATTMTTTCTTTTGCTGGAGAAACGCTATCTTCTCTCTAATAGATCCTGCAAGCGTTTGGTTTTTCTTTTATGAAAGTGAAACCATACCTTCCTTTTTGAAGCTTCCCAAGTCTACCAAAGGCGTCTGGCTCACCTGATAGGTTTATATAGTTTAAGAATGTAAGGTCGAGTTTRTATTTGGTTGGTGAATTTATTTATCGTGTCGTGGCTAGTTAGACTTATGAAACCGTTGCTTCTTAGGTAGAATTTATACTTCAGATCACAAACTAACATRGAAYTCAGTTTTTTTGAGAAAAAGATTGTAGTATTTGTTGCTGCACAGAAAAATCTATATGCTTAGTTTATTTATGCCAATGAAGAAATTATTTCTTATATGAAACCACCTTCCATTCATATGTAGGCTTCACGCATACATGCAATTCATATGAAACTGTCGTCTCTGAAATTTTAAAGCTTTTTATTATCGTTTCTTCTGAAAGCGTAGTTTCGGTTTYAGTTTTAGATGTGTGTTGTAACTTTAATTGGGAATTTGGAACTTTCTTCTGTTGGATAACTTAGCTTAAAAAAAAGGTGATCCTTTCACCAGAATACACAAAATCATCCATTAAATTTATCTATCTCCCAACAAGCTCTGTCATTGTTGATGTTGATGGATCGGAAAGTTGGGTCTCTCTCGGAGAGCTATCTGTGTTGTCTCTCGACGACGGAGGCACGAGCGGCAGCGGCCACACAAACAAAGGCATTTCATGGGGCAAARTCGGCGGATCTGCTTCCCCTTTGAGCACTTGCAAAACGTTTTTCATGGTTGGTCTCTCATGGGGGTTCGGATGGCAACAAGCCAATCCTACAATCAAAGTTCTCTCCATCTCTTCTTCCTCACATTGCCCTCCAATTCTCCCATCGGCAGCTCCTCGGATCTCTCCTCTCTCCTGAAACTCCCATACCCAATTTGTAATATGGCCTTCGTATACACTCAGGTTCGATGGATTTTTACTTGTACGCTTTCTCCCGCACACGACTTCCAAAACAAGAATCCCAAATGCGTATACGTCTGTCTCCGCTGTTGCTCTGCGGGTTAGGAAAATTTCTGGTGCCATGTAGCCGTATGTACCAGCTATTCCTCTTGTTGAGTGATGCGTCTGTTCTGTTCGATGAATTGCCCGAGCCAACCCGAAGTCTCCCAACTTAGCTTCCAACTTCGAATCCAACATTATGTTTGAAGGCTTCACGTCTCTGTGGATCACTCTCTTCTCACACCCGTTGTGAAGATAATCGAGAGCCTCCGCTACTCCGCAGATTATATTCCGTCTGGTTTCCCAATTGGGTGTGGCGGAGGAGTTGTCATCGCCACCGAARATCAGCTTGTCCAAGCTGCCGTTGGGCATGTATTCGTATATCAGCAAAAGATCTCTCTTCTTGTAGCACCATCCCATTAGTTTGACGAGGTTCTTGTGATGGAGGCCACCGATTGTTGCCACTTCGGCAATGAATTCTTGCTTCCCTTGATGGGAATTCTCTGAGATTCTCTTCACGGCCACCTCTCTGTTCATCAAATCTCCTCTGTAAACCGTTCCAAATCCGCCTCTCCCGAGCCTGTTCTTGGCGTCGAAATTGCCAGTTGCCTTCTTCAGCTCTGAAAACTCGAACTTCTGAACTCGTGGTGCTATGGAGAAATCTTGAAGCTGGTCTTCTATCCCTGGGTATCCTTCTTCCAGATCGTTCAATTTTCGTTTTCTCATGATCCACAGGATCAAAAGGGCGACCCCAGATAAGAGAACGAGTCCACCGGCGCCGAGGAAGACCCAAACCCACCGGCGTTTGTCACCGATATCTGTGCCGGAAAACTGCCACGATTTTACCCCCCAGTTCAATTGAGCGTTGTACTCGAATTTTGAAGCAGAGAAGCCGAGGTAAACCTCGTCGGGGAGAACAGAGAGATTCAGGGGATGAAAAATGACGCGGTTTTTCAACCGATCTTCCAATCTGGCCGACAAAGAGACGTAAATAGAAATGTTCTTACCATCAAATTCGGCTCTAACATAAATATCATCCGTAGCAGAAAGATTAACCCCAAATTCCGACAATGGCATCTGGAAAACAGAGTAAACACTGTTCAAATCCAACCCCACATGGTTCCCGTCCACATCCTCGGGAAAACTCTTCCTCGAATCGAATTCAATTGCAAAAATCCCAGCTTCCACTGTCCCGTCGGTGGTCGAATTGGTAATCCCCAGCCACTGGCCCTCGCTGCTGGAAGGAGGGGAGGGATCTGCCGCAAGAATAAAGGCGATGCCATCGTGGGCGGCGGAGGAGTTGGTCGAGGAGCCGAAGTTAAGCACAAAATCGGTTGTGAAAGCCGCGATTTCTCGTCTGTTTTTGAGCTTGAATGGCTGGTTGTAAACGACCCGGATAGAAGCATTTGTGAGGGGGGGTTCTTGAGTAGTATTAGGCGGCGCTGGGCGGTGGTCTTCGCCTTGAAAGACGGTGTCATCGTAGCTCCAAATGAGATTCGAGAGCTGCTCGGCGGTGGTGGTGGAGAGGGGGAAGTCCAAGAAGTAGCCGCAGCCTTCAGCCACCAGAGTTGCACAGATAATGGCGGCCCCAAGCAGAGCCTTGGTGGACACATACATCGTCTCTGAAAATTTTGGGAGACCTGAAAGAATCTTGGTGCTGAATTTAACGTTCCACTGGCTTCTGTTTTTCCCCTTGGCCAAAAATAATTTAATAACATAACAATATTTAGGATCTTGAAAAAAAAAAAAAACATTATTGGTTTGCGTATATTTTAATTTCGATATATTTTTAAAATTTTAATTTATTTCATATACTAGATTTGTCAAGTCTTCATAAAAATATAAAGAATGTGTCAATTCTTAGTCTTTGTATTTTGTCTTTTTCCTTTCATAAGAAAAATAAATTTTAAGTAGCTCGGTTCATTAACAGTTAAGCGTAATCTTGTACTTATCATCCGATTTCTTATAAAAATTAACGAGTTATCAATTTTTCAATAATGGTGGGGATAAAATTTGATTCTCATYGTTAAGAAGTTSAGKTATTTTTCACACCACACCACACARGAACAACTTCTAGCGTAGAGTATGTGGGYCATTGGATCAACTTTTCTTCTTCTGTGGAAAAATCAGCTCTCTCTTGCCAAGTCAACTTTACTTATCCTTTGATATCTATATCATCATCATTTGAATTTTCTAACCATTTCATCAATTCACCCACCCACTTTCTTCTTATGATGGTTGTACTGCCACTCTCTCTCTAATTGGATCAATAATTCAAATGTTGGCACCTCACGAGAATAGTTTAATTTGTGGCGGATCCACTCTCTTTCGAAAGAAAAATCCGTCAATAAATGACGAACCCATTATATTGATGATAGGACAGGGCTAATGCAGTAATTTTGACGGAGATTAGGATGAATTTTGATGAGTAAAAGAAGAATCCATGGAACTATTCTCAGGGGTGAAGCAAATCAAACCCATTTTCAGATAAAAAAAATAAAAATAAAAATAAAACGAGAGTGGCTAGGAAAGCGGGGTGGTTAGGTTCGAGTCTTCATCGATTGGGTGGTTGGACTATAAGCCTTGAGGGCTTAAGCCCTCTCAACTTTGAGATGCATATAAATTAATAATATGGTAAAATATGTTTTATTTATTTATTTGAGTTTGGTATTTAGTTAATTTTGGAGATTAAAAAAAAAACACTTTTAATTCTTTATACCTTTTGAACCTTTTTTTATTATTTCAATAGTGGTATGCTCCAAAAAAGAGTCAAGGAGTTGCTTGCATTTTAGAAGCGGTAGCTTCCCGCCTGCTTCATTCCTAATGCTTGCCTTCTTCGGTGAGTTGTTCTCTTCCATTTTCTAAAATGYCTTATACAAAGGGTTTGTCTCAGAAAATGTACAAGGAATGGAACCACAGGAGAGAGTCGTCTGCCGTTCACATTTAGACACAGACGACTGATTTTGGAAGCGGAACACGAACCTATTTCCGCTATTCCGGGTTCTTATTGAGGGTGGCAAAATCAAGATTTATGATAAAGTCAACGAAGTTTCGATGACAAAACTTTTAGACTTAGAAATGATCCAAAAGGTTAGGSTTCTTGGAACCATGCAAGTTGCACGCACGGCCCGATTGCCATACTTTGAAATTTGAAGATGATGTGTGACTTAGCTAAATTTCCATAAAAAGCTATCATTTTCTCTTCTAATCATGATGTCTTTTTTACTTGACTAACACTCAATTATTTTTTCTTCTACCTTCACACTCGTTGTTTGATGTCTGTGTGGCTCTTCATTTTTTTAGTTAATTAAATAAGTATAGTTTGGTGAAGGATAGTTCGAACAACCAAATTTTTGTTAATCAAAATCAGGAGTGGAATTAGAAAGGAAACGAAAAATCAAGTTGTGTTGATAAAAGAAATAGAGGCTTCGTGGTTTTGATGATAGACTTATTATTATTATTATTATTWTTTTCCAAACTAGTGAAGATATTTTTGATTGGTGAATGGGGAGGTGTGTYACACGTGACAAGAGGGAGATGAGAGGGAGTCTTAATACAAAGGTGATGAAAGACAGAGTTCTATAGAGCAACACGATGATTTGAGATTTGAGATTTGAGAGTTCGAGAAGTTATTGGAAGAGACTACTGTATTATGGTTGACAATTTTACGCTATTAATATTGTTGGGAAATTAGGCGRTTCAAAACAATTTCACCTTCCACGRCTCTATCCAGTTATCTAAGCTAATCAGAAACAAAGAGAAATATAGGGAAAACAATAAATGATACAATAGAATTATAATGGTTCACCCCATAGTTTATGAGCTACGTCCAATCTTTCGCTCATTTGCGAGTTCCACTATAATAATAAGAGATTAGATACAAACACTCTAAAATATATCTCCCTAGATATTCGCTCTCTAGAGGTCCCAATAAAAAATTGCTAGCTTCTAAGTACTTAATACAATAATACTTAGGTACATGGATGAAAACGCTCATAGAATAATCAAAATACAATTACCCAAAACGTTGATCTTGATTTGCCTCTTTCTGTATTGCCAAAACCCCGAGCCGCTGCCACAAATCTGCTGCCGAAAACTCCCCAAAATCAGCTACAAAATAATACCCTATGGCTGCTCCACAATTTTCGGCTCAAACCTAAAAAAGGAACACGGTTCCCTTTTATAAATGACGTCATAGCATTGAGACGCTACCTTTGGCATCTCAACACTACGGATGATGTAGCGTTGCCCACAAAAATGAAATGCTGGCGTGCCTCCTCATCTCTGCCCATGTGTTTGGAGCGTTGAGATGCCAAAGGTAGAGCATCTCAAAGCTACCCTTTTTTTTCGAATTTTCATTGAGCTCCGCGGCGCTGTGCTCTCGACCAAATGGCGCTACAATGCTCCTCTACATGTTTTCCATTCCCTCGATATCCCTACACGATCCTAGCTCGACTTGACTCGTCTTGTGGCACTGACATGAGAATATATGTTCTATAATTCATTGAACTCACACGAAAATACTTAATTTTTTCAAGGATTCCACAAACAAAAACCTACATAAAGGAAAAGATTGTAATACCTGGTCCAATCGATCCCATTTTTGGGATGAGCGTTTTGGATTCTGATACCATATTAATATTCATGAGGTTCCATCTCAAAATCAATTAACAATGAGAGAAGTAAGTCATGTCTATTATAAATGATTGTTAGGTCAACTCTCTTTTCAATGTGGGATACTTAACAGTCCTATATCAAGCGAGGTTTTGAGGATGTTCTTTCAGCCAATTTGGAAACTGCAGAATCGTCTTTAGACAAAGAAGACAAGGAGACGACCTATCAAAAACAGCGGTGAAAAGCGAGACGGACTGCTGCCTTCTAGGGACGAACTAGGTGGTCTATTGCTGGCGAGGGAATGGAGAAAACAGAGAAGAATGTCGAAAAAAAAGTGTTTTTTATGAAAGAGACGAAGAAACGAACTATGAATAGTTATTTTTGGAGGAAGGAGATGAATAGATTTTGGTATTTGAGTATTTTTTATTTTTAAAAACTGGAATGTTTCATAAAATGAGGATTTAAAATTTAACTTTTCAAATCAATCTTTTTGAATTTCTATAATTTAATAATATTTAAATATATATAAAAGAAGAATATATTGATAAATTGTTGATAAATTTCATGTCACAGGGTTTATTGATAAAATTTAGGTTATTCATGTGTTCTTTGAACCTTCCTGTCCAAGAATTTTTAAAGATAATTTCAAGGATGAAAAGTAGGTGCAGATGGAAGAGTTACTTCCAATAATGTATAACATTCTTTTTGTCACTATGTACAAAATGTGTTTGCCTTAATTGAAAAAACTTCCATTCTTGAGCGAAACAGTTAGATTTAACGGCCGTGAATTTACTGTAAGTCAATCACATTTCTCAGTTAATTCTCGCCCATCAACAATATTATGTTGTTATTTTTCACGGAAATTTTCGATCACGCCGCAGAATTTACTTTCCAAACGAGGATAATTTATTACGTTTACTTCTACTGACAGCAAAATTTTATCCTTTCACCAGAACACACAAAATCACCAATTAAATTTATCTATCTCCCAACAAGCTCTGTCATTGTTAATTGATCGGAAAGTTGGGTCTCTCTAGGAGAGCTATCCGTGTTGTCTCTCGACGACGGAGTCACCAGCGGCCACACAAACGAAGGCATTTCATGCGGCAGAATCGGTGGATCTGCTTCCCCTTTCAGCACTTTCAGAACATTTTTCATGGTCGGCCTCTCATGGGGGTTCGGATGGCAACAAGCCAATCCTACAATCAAAGCTCTCTCCATCTCTTCTTCCTCGTGTTGCCCTCCAATTCTCCCATCACCAGCTTCGACAATCTCTCCTCTCTCTTGAAACTCCCATACCCAATTTGTAATATGGCCTTCGTACCCACTCGACGGATTTTTACTTGTACGCTTTCTCCTGCACACGACTTCCAAAACAAGAATCCCGAATGCGTATACGTCTGTCTCTGCTGTTGCTCTGCGGGTTAGGAAAATTTCTGGTGCCATGTAGCCGTATGTACCAGCTAGACCTCTTGTTGAGTGATGCGTCTGTTCTGTTCGACGAATTGCCCGAGCCAACCCGAAGTCACCCAATTTGGCTTCCAACTTCGAATCCAGCATTATGTTTGAAGGCTTCACGTCTCTGTGTAGCACTCGCTTCTCGCACCCGTTGTGAAGATAATCCAGAGCCTCCGCTACTCCGCAGATTATGTTCCGTCTGATTTCCCAATTGGGTGTTGGGGAGGATTTGTCATGGCTGCTGAAGATCAGCTTGTCCAAGCTGCCGTTGGGCATGTATTCGTATATCAACAAAAGATCTCTCTTTTTGTAGCACCATCCCATTAGTTTCACGAGGTTCTTGTGATGGAGGCCACCGATTGTTGCCACTTCCGCGACGAATTCTTGCTTCCCTTGACGGGAATTCTCTGAGATTCTCTTCACGGCGACATCTCTGTTCATCAAATTTCCTCTGTAAACCGTTCCAAATCCGCCTCTCCCGAGCCTGTTCTTGGGGTCGAAATTGCCAGTTGCCTTCTTCAGCTCTGGAAATTCGAACTTTTGAACTCGTGGGGCTATGGAGAAATCCTGAAACTGGTCTTCTATCCCTGGGTATGCCTCTTCCAGATCGTTGAATTCTTGTTTTCTTGTGATCCAGAGGAGCATTAGGGCAGCAACCCCAGATAAGAAAACGAATCCACCGGCGCCGACGGTGATCCAAACCCACCAGCGTCCGTCACCAATATCATCGCCGGAGAACTGCCACGATTTTACCCCCCATTTCAATTGAGCGATGTAATCGAATTTGGAAGCAGAGAAACCGAGATAAACCTGGTCGGGGAGAACAGAGAGATTGAGGGGATGAAAAATGACGCGGTTTTTCAACTGATTTTCCAATCTGGCCGACAAGGAGACGTAAACAGAAATGTTCTTGCCATCAAATTCGGCTCTAACAAAAATATCATCCCTAGCAGAAAGGTTAACCCCAAACTCCGACAATGGCATCTGCAAGACAGAGTAAACACTGTTCAAATCCAACCCCACATGGTCCACGTCCAAATCCTCGGGAAAACTCTTCCTCGTATCGAATTCAATCGCCAAAATTCCAGCTTCCGTGGTCCCATCGGTGGTGGAATTGGCAATCCCCAGCCACTGGCCTTCACTGCTGGAAGGAGGGGAGGGATCCGCCGCAAGAATAAAGGCGATGCCATCGTAGTTGGCGTTCTCGGAGCCGAAGTTAAGCACAAAGTCGGTTGTAAAAGTGGCGATTTTGCGGCTGTTTCTGAGCTTGAATGGGTGTTTGTAAACGACCCGTAGAGAGGCATTTGTGATGGGGGGTTCCTGAGGAGCAGCAGCATGGTGATCTTCGCCCTGAAAGACGGTGCCATCGTAGCTCCAAATGAGGTTACTGAGCTTGTCGGTGGTGGTGGAGAGGGGGAAGTCCACGAAGAAGCAGCAGGCTTCAGCTACGAGAGTCGCACAGATAATGGCAGCCCCAAGCAGAGGCTGCCTTGATACACACATCGTTTTACTAACTTTTTACTTTCGCCCCTTTGCCCAAACATGTTTTAATAACAAAGCTTTGTGGATCTTGTTTGGTGTGAATCTTGCTTTACTTTATTCTGTTTTTTTTTTAATTTCTTTTCAATTTAGTCTATATCAAATTCTCTGTTATATACTTACTATGGTAAAAATTTAGAATAGGAATTAAACCATTCAAGAGGGAGAAACTAAAAAAAGATCTACTAAGTTGTTAGAATTTTGAACGAGGAATTAAACCATTCAAGAGGGTGAAAATCTTAAAAGGTAAGAGATTAAATCGAAACTCTTCAAAGAGATTAAATTGGAAATATATCTGACTATTAGAAACTAAGATATATATATATATATATATATATATGGGATGACAAGTGCATTCCGAAATATTTTCATCATTTGTTGTCCGATGGGATCTTAGTCCGGTGCCTGACATTGAAAGATTCGAACTCACAACCTTTTAGTTGGAAGTATATGTGAATTGAGCTATGTTCACTATGGCTATGTTATAAATTAACAAATTAGTAACATGATCTCTATTTTGAGATAAAAAATAGACATTAAGGTGGATAATGTGCTGCCAATAGGTTGCCAAATAAGCGGGTTGGATATCGGGTTTTACATGGTCGATTTTTGAGTCGGGTTCGGGTTGCCATTGAAGCTGCCAAATAGGTGGTAAAATATTGGATCTCTGTTCTTGAATCAGGCTGCACTTGCTTCCGTTGAATTTGAAGGCTGGACCCACTCCAGTTTCCAAGTTATGATATTTTTATTTTTGTTAAAGTTTTTGACATTTTATTAACATTCATAGACTATAGAGCAAGAAAATATCAATATTCTATCTCCCAAATTCATGTCGACATCTTATATTTATAGAAAAGACAAACATATCATATCATTTCACTTGGTCAAAGTATATACATATAAATATATATTTTCTTTTGAAAGAGGTCAAAGTATATACTGATGTGATTAAAACTTTTAGGAAAAAAAAAATAAAAATTTTTACCAGTTAAAATGTATGGATTTTTATCCTTCATCAAATTCAATTTTAGACTTACACAAGTGTGGTAAAATTTTCCCTCTATTCAACTTCCATTAAATTGACCCACTACTTTTNAAAAAAGTAAAAATCTCTTAACACACTCACTAATTTTAATAAAAATCAAACTTGGGAAACAATAAAATTAGGTTAATGCATTGAATCAACTATTAAAATGAATCTTAGAAAGCTAAAAATAAAACTAGTGTCAGATTTTCAAAGTTTTATTAAATATCGACATTTGTTTTATAATCCATTAAACAAATATGAAAATATTTGATTCTTTATTAGGTAAAATTTGCAACACTTAACTAAATTCAAGAAGAAGGTTGTAATATTTATCCAAATTTAATATATAATTCGAAAAAATTGAAAGTTTAGAATAAAATTTAATACGTTTTGCTAAATTTAACGATAACAGTAAATTTTTTACATTCATTATAATACGGCGGATTTGTTTTCATACTAAAATATATATAAGTTTTGGGAAAAAAGAGAGAGAAGAAACTTTAAAACCACGTGTCGTTTTGGTGTTGGGATGATTTTTCAATAGGTGCAATAACCACGACAAGACATATTTTCATTTCCCACCATCATGCATTTGTATCCTATACTTTTCTTTTTTAACTTTTATAAAAAAATTCATTTTTACTTATAAATTTGGCAATATTTTACCCTAGACTTACAATTTCATTGAATTTTACTTTAAATTTTGCTGAATATTTGCTATTTGACCTTAAACTTTATCAGACATTACAATTTTTACCTTCAAATATATTCAATTTTAGAGACTGTTCTACATCAATAACATAAAATAGGTATGCATTCTCAAACATTGTAAAAAGTTAAAATTTTTCAAAACTAGCATGATAGAAATTAATCTAAAATTTGAAAAAAAAAGTTGTAACATTTTTTAGTATTTATATTAAAAGTATGCTATTCTAGTGTAATTTCTTTTTTCAAAAGGAGTTTATTTTATCTTTATATATAATTTTCTAAGAAACATAAAAAAAAAAGAAAATAATAATAATAAATTAAAAAGGCTAACTTATGGTCCAAATTTTTTTAGAGTGGTATTAGATAGATTCCTAATTTATTAGACGGTTTTTTTATATATGAAAAGGGGAAATTGCATTGAGTACTCCCTAATTACAATTTTGTATTTTGTAAATATGACAAAATATTTGAATTTCTATTTTTAAATTTTTATTATTCCAATGTTACTCTATGACATCTGATATACCTTTAAATCAATCTACATTTAAAATGTGCTTCTAAGGTACGTATTATACATTTAATATATATCTTATGTACCTCTAACTTATGATATACTAAATATATTTGTAACTTATATGTTAAATATAAGGTATATCAAATGTTTAATTTTAAAGTGTAGTTTATACTATTATTTAATCTATATTAATATTAATTAAATACTAAATATAAGAGATAGTTGTTTAAATTTATAAAGTATATGAGATTTTTAACTTTTTTTGGCCATCTTTGATCCACATCCATCTTTTATTCAATAACTTTATATTTCATTTTATTTTTTTGCATCATTGTTTTCACTTGAAAAAAAACTAATGGATATATTAGTAATATAACACACATAACATAGTTATATATATATATATATATATATATATATATATATATATATATATATATAAAAGTGGTAGGGACATATATTAAATATATATCACAAATATATCAATGTTATATTAGTGGTAAATCATATAATCATATAAGAAATTATATTAGTAGATATCATAGTTATATCAGTAATACATCATTTGCATATTAGTGTAAAATTAGAGGCATATCTCACATATACATAAGTGTCATATCAGCGTGGTAAATAAATGGTAAATCATATAATCATGTCATAACTTATATTAGTAGACATCATAAATATATCAGTAGTAATCATAATAGAAGTTATATTAGTAGATATCCTAGTTATATTAAAAGTAAATAAATGATATAAGTTATTATAGTTATATAATAAATATATCAATATTATATAAGTGGTATATTAGAGTAGAGATGACAACATGGCAAAGTGGGGTTTGGGTCATCCCCATCCCCACCCATCTAGGATTTTTTTCCATCCTTGCCTCCGTTCTCGATATATATTTATTATGTTATATATTATGTTCATGTGAGTTAAAACTAAAGCAAGCTAAATGGGCATTGGGCTTGGGCTCTTTTTTAACAAAAATTTAAAAAGTATTTATTAAAATCAATATTATTATATTATAAAAATATAAAAATTAATAAAATATTAAACGGGGCGAAGTCGGGGACGAGGACGGGGACCCCGATTAGGATCCCTGGTTTGACCCTGTCCTCGGTCAAACCATGGATATCCCGACCCGACCGAGTCAGGTACTTGCGCGGATTGCATGTCCCCTAGATTTTTTTGCTATTCCTATATCAAAGACATATCAAATATATATCACAAATGCATCAGTAGTAAATCAAATAATCATATAAGAAATTATATTAGTGGATATCATAGTTATATTAGTGATATATTAATTGTATGTCAGCAGTAAATCATAAGTATATCAAGTTTATATCATATATATATATATCAGTGTGATATGAATTAGCAAGCCTCCATCAAATTTCATCGAAGATGTTAATTTCAATTATTTTAACTATTTTAGTTTGTTGTTTTATTTATTTGTTTATTTTTATTAAAATAAATTATGATTAGTATTTGATGCCACCCAGGTTACTTTTATTGGAAGCCATATATAAGTTTATCATTTAGGTTGTAATAAGGCCGGTTTTAATGAAATTTTGAGCATTTGAATTTTGTCATTCTTGATCTAGATTGCAAACTTGAAACATTCAAAATTGGTTTGATCAACTTCTCTTGTGGAGTATTCAACCTCGAGTAGGGAACTAGTTCTCCTTAACTCATGGTATTCGATCAACAAAGTAACCTTATTCTAACTCTTTCTTGGGGTTGTGCTAAATTGATTTTAGGGGTTTTAGTGATTGTGAATTAATGGTTCACATACCCAAAAGGTTTCTAATTCCAATTCGCTAGAGTGTTCATATCACAGTGTTATATCAATAATATATCATTGCTACAAAGGTAAATTTTTGACATTTTATTACTTAGACCTTCGTTTTATGTAAAAAATTTTCTATATTTGCAAAAACTAAAATGTAGGTGTTAAATTTTCTGTTTAAAAAAAAAAACGATATACATCCTCAAACATAGTAAAAAGTAAAATTTTTCAAAAATAGCATGATAGAAATTGAACTAAAATTCAAATGAAATCCCATAAGAAAAGTCATATTAATACTAAAATAAAAGTTGTAACATTTTTTAGGATTTATATTAAAAGTATGCTATCTAGTGTAATTTCTTTTTTCAAAAAAGATATAACTTTCTAAGAAACGTACCAAAAAAATATTAAAAAGGATAAATTACAATTTTAGTCCAAAAATTCTTAGGACTGTGTATCAGATATATTCCTAATTTATTATACATTTTTTAAAAATTTAGAGATTAATTTGTGATTACTATATCAGGCGTACATTTTTTTGTAGCAGCATAACTCAACTTCTAAAGACATGTATCTACTCCTTCTTTTGAGGTCGAGGTTAAAATTTCACCCGTGATTGTTGTATACTCATAAAAAAAAGGGTACAGCTTGGCATACTAACATTTTTTAATTTTAAATTTTAGGTGCAAATAAATATTGACAAAATGGATCGAATTTGAAGTAGATCGGTTTGACTTGGAGTTGAACCGATTTGTTTCTTACGACAATTCTACAACCTCTAGGGAAAATTATTTAACGAGTACGTCAATGCCACAATGTGGTTCCAGTCAATCTTCATGCCCCTAATAATAGATATAATTTTGTAGTTTATTTTTAGAATTTAATCGTATAAAACCATCAGCTACATTGTAGCCACCTCCTCCAATAATTTTTTTTGGAGTCATATCCCTATTTTCCTCAAGTCCAACACCTCAAATCTCATACCATCGTGTTGCTCTTTAGAACCGTGTCTTTCATGACC